AAAAAAAAAAAAAAAAAAAAAAGTTAGGGAAGAAAAACTTGATCCAATTCCAACGAAAAAAATCGTGGTAATTAGAATTTCATTTTCTCAAATTAGGTAGAACGACCCCGGAGGTGTAGAACTGTTATAAGTATAAACTACAATGACGCGAGCATGACCGTTTGCCGACGCCACGACGCATTTGCTATCCCACAAGGAAAAATAGAAAACCAAACAAATAAAACCGACGTATAAGCAATGATTATTGCTTCGACATCAAACCAAAGTAGTACACTATTTTATATTATTAAAAGCGTGCACCAAACAGGACGTTAGCGAAGGATACCCAATCCAGCTGGCGCACAAATTAAAATTCCACGAGAAAATGACGAGGGGCAATATGGGAATACGAATACTCAAAAGGTTTACCCTCAGAATATATATTTGCTGCATGCGAGGTACAGAAGCTCTGCTTGCACCAGAGTTTGCTGTTTGTTTGTTTGTTTATTTTTGGGATAATAAAAAAAAAAAATAAAAAAATTAGGGAGTTGTCAAAATATTCTCTATAATATAATTTAATATTTTATGTTAAAATAATATTCATATTTTGTTTCAAACGGTCTAACTATCAAACAAGTCGATGCGTCATATATTAAAGTTGTCCATGCGTCGTACACTTATGGAGTAAGAATTTAAATTATTCTATATAAGTACACCACTTAAAGAGTTTGAATCACAAAAATTCTTGTATGAGAGGATATAATTAAGCAAGTCTACCCGTCATATATCTGTAAATTGTAACAGAAAATGCTTATTTATGTTATGAAATGTCATACTTTTATTTATATCATTTTTTAAAACATTATATTTTAGTTTGAAAGCATGTATATTTATCCAAAAATATGATTGCCTAACAGTAGTCATGATGTTATAATGTTGTTGCGTCTCGTTTTGTGTTTGAATCAAATTAATTATATTCGCATTCGAGTTCAAGAACTACTTAATTATGGATAAGGCTAGTAGACAAATTTAATGGTTAGACAACAATAAATATACATACTTTTAAACTAAAACTAGTATTCATCCTGTGCACATGCACAAAGAAAAATAAAAATTTATATATTATATTTATGTATACAATATATAACAATTTTATATTAGATAATTAATGTATTACATTTTAAATTTTGACTACATGCCAATGTGTAATAATTTATTTAACTTACGTATGATTCTTTAAATTGATGCCATAAATTTTAATGGCTAATATAATTTAGTAATTTAAAGGGTCCATACAATTAATTAGTTAGAAAAGTATTACAATTATTTTTATTATTGTTATAG